GTACTAACAATTAAAATTGTCACTGATATTATCTTATTACGTCTTTACGCCTGACTGTAAATACACTGATGCTTGCTTAGTTCGATTAAAACAATTGCCTTGATTTTTTTTAAATTTAAATTTAAAGTCTCAAGTTCTATAAATATCTTGAAACTTGCATATATTGCATCATTACAAAAAGGTTATTAAGAGTTTAATGAATCCAATCCCAAGTGCAAACAGGTGTTTTTTATTAAACCATTAAATTAAAGCACAATAGTAATACAGTTAATAACTCCTCTACCCCGTTGCGGCCTAAAATTTTCAACTAAAATTGTTAATTATTGCAAGAGACAATATTATAATGATCTTACCTCATTACAAAGCTTAATCACAAGTTGTGTAAATAGTTCAAAGGTTGCATATATTGCGCGTAAAACTATCAAATCATATTAATTCAGAGTAGAATAAAGCCTATCCCAGTTGATACCGGCTTTTTTATTAAAACGTCGAAGGCACAATTGAAACACTGTTCAGAATTCTTACCCCATGTAGTCCTAAAATGTTCGACTAAAATTATCAGTCAATTTCATGCAATAGTCTTGTTAACTCTTTACGTCTGAACGTGCATGAGAACGCTGATTCCTGCTTATTGCTGTGAAAATAATTCAGGTAAGTAAGTTATATAATTATGGAAATATCAATGTATTTAGTTACTGTTTATTATTTACTTCACAGTAATAAAATATTATATATTATTTTAAAAGAATATTGATTTTTCAAGCTTAATATATCATTCAAAATTTATACTTCGCAAATTAGAATAATCAGATAATATATTCAATATATTTCCCTGAAACTAATCAATTAAGAATAATTATAAAGGGGGCATGTATAAAACTGGATTCTATTTCTGTGCAGTTAAATGTTAATAATTTCAAAATTTAGAGATGAATTATTTCGAAATATACAATTAAGTTTTAGTTTTGTTGTTGCTATATATATATATATATATATATATATATATATATATATATATATATATATATATATATATATATATATATATATATATATATATATATATACGTGAAGTAAAGATTGTTACTCAACCTTGTATTCAGAAATCTGAACTCCCAACGGGAATCGAACCCGTGTCTCCCGATTGCCGGTTCGGTTGTTTTACCACTAGACTATAGGGTTTCAGACAGCAATGCGATGTTAACTAGAGACCTGGTTCCTACCGTTTATATGTGTCCTTTGTACTTAAAGGCTCATCATACTATTTTGTAATGCGATATTGTTTGTGTTTGTGTGTTCATATACTAAGACTAGTACATGTTGTAAGCTTGG